TCTAAAATGGATAGGTCAAGTGACCGAGGAGACCCATGCAATTGGTCCATCTTTTTCTATCCCTGAGTCTACATAATTATGATATAAATAATTTTTTACATTTCTTTCATTGTGTGTGTGTGTGTGTGTGTGTGAGGGGGGGGGGGTTGGGGTTGATGTGTCATAATGAAAGTCATGTTGGAACCACTCTATTAATGCGCGAGTATTAATAAATTTAACTTTTCATAACATGTCTTGAAAACCTTTCTCTAAAAAACGTAAGTAACGTTCACCGGTCAACGGTCAACGTATCCTTGAAATGTTGAACCAATAATCCTACACGCTTTTCTTCATTTAAAAAAAACTCTTATTTACAATTTTTGTTTATTCTAATTTGCTAAGATTGAATGTGACAATTTCATATTTCTGAGAGCAACGACGATTGAACTTGTTTCCATAGCTAACTAAGTGAAATTAGTCAAGAAAGATAAGAATTGGCTATAACTCAGTAATTTTGTGAAAGAAACATATTATAGCTTATATCGCTGAAAAGCTTAAAAAATGGCGCTTTTTAAGAATTCACGGCCAACTATGGTTTCCATTTAAAAAAACATATGTTTGTGTCATATGTCAAAAATGACAGGCTTTAGAAAAAATCGGAGAACACAGTCTCATTAGGGATGTGATTATCTACAATTTTTATCTGAAAACTTTTTGTCTAAAATAGATTATAATAGATTTACGGACAATTTTTAAAATAGCCAAAATTTGTTTTTTTCGAAATATCTAGTAAGCCATGAACTTTTTCAAAAATCTGAAAGGCGCATATTTATGACCCCATAAAACTGCAATTCTTTCCCCATTTAACTGACTCTATCTCCAGTAGTTTCCGAGATACCCATAGAGAACATCGTAGGAAACTCACCCTGTATATGTCTAATAATTACATACCAAATTTTAAATTATAGTTCTTGCCATAAAATATTTTATTGCAAATTATGTTATAAAGAAAAATATTATATTGGGTATACAGAAAAAATTAAAGACGGTATTTTTACTTCGTCTTCCCAATGCTTTTAATTTTTAGCAACTATAAACTCGACAGCTGTTCTTTCATATAGCTTCACATAACAATTTAATCAAGCTCTTGATCGCACGTAACTTCATATTTATTAAAATGCAACTGCTGTTTTTCAATTGAGTTATTGAGTTTCACATTACCTAATTCAATCAATTTAATCATTGTGGTTTAATAATTCATAGAATAATTAGAATAGAGTTCATAGAATCCTTTTTTTATACGCATAATTAATCTTCTAGAATAAGGACAGGTTAGTGGAGAATCTTCTATATCATAAAAAAAACGAATTTTTTTCTGAATATTATATACATTCACTGGCACGGAAAATGAACACCTTAAAATTTTGATCTACTTTAAAATTTAATATCGTCGGTGAAACGTGATAAACTGCTAAGTCCATTATTCCTAATTTTACAGGAGAGCAAAAAAACGGTACAAAAAAATATGTACACATGTGGGAAGTATTTTGATGCGTTAATATGATAAAGAGATAAGAATACTATTTGCTAGGGAACAATAAAACTCAATATTTCGTGTTACGTCATTTTTTTCCGACACAATAGGGAGATAGCAGATATTCGTCTTGCAGAAATAAGAAATAAAAATATACTTCTGGAGATAGCAACCTTTATTGTTTGAAATTTTGAAAGTGGAAATGAATATTACCCAAACAGATTTATAAATAATCAATTAAATTTAAAAAATATGATATTCATAACCATATATCTATAATATCGTCGGTCTAGAAGCAAAACATACAAGTCCAAAAACGAATAAATTTCTGATAAAAATTTTAAAATTTTTTGCATTTTTAAAGAACTGAAGTAGCAGAATTTTGGACTTAATGAATATGAAAATAATTTAAAAATTAAACTTATAATTCTTAGAAGATATGGTAGAATCCTTCCATGCTTATCCTAATTTTTATACAACGGTAGTAGACCGAGCTTGGAAAACAGTGCGTGATTTTATTAAATTTTTATTACTTTTCTCCTTATTTTTTTTAATTTTTATAAAAATTATCTATCATTTACGTGAAAATACGTTGAGAAAAATAAAACTGATTAGGTATTATGGAAATCCTTGAACAAGTAAGTAATGTTATTTAAACTATTTATAGCACGCCGATGAATTGCTCGTATATAGAGAATTTCGTTTTTCCCCTTACCCTTTACGGATACCCCGTATTTACAGAACGGATCGACGCAGGATCGGACTGGCCATATTATATAGATAACTATTAGAGGGGGGCCTTTATAGTTAATTAATAATTAATGAGAATTAAGAATAATTATTATTCTTAACAATATTTTTTGCTTTTGCATTGCATTGGTTTACCTTGCATTAGGGTAGTTCCCTGATTTATATACAGGATGAGTCTTAAATAAGTGCAAATGTGCAGGGCTGGTAAATCTCGATAAAAGAAACATAATATTTTCTCTTTACCGTTTTTTTTTCAAATAAATCCAAAACAACCGAGTTATTTCACTTTTAAAATTTCCAATTTTTTGCTATAATTTTGAGAATCATTGGATTTTCTTTCTTGTAAATTTAATCTACTACCTATGTTACCATATTACAAACAAAGTATGTCTTTAAAATAAAAATAAAAAAAAAATCCCCAATTTTTTTTTTAAAAATTCCAAATTTTCAGAAAAAAAATTCGCGCAAAAAACCTCATAATCGTGTTTCTTGGGTCGAAATATACTACCCTAAAAATATTTGCACTTATTTAAGACTCACCCTGCATATAAAAATGGGAAAAATTGACCAAATCGTAAGGCGAAAAAATACGCCAAAAAAAACACACTAGCCCTTCCTTACATTGTCACCCAGGCCCCTTTGGCCTAGTGCGACCCTGAATCGACGTACTGTACTAAAAAAACATACGACTAAGAATCTGTGTGTTTGTTTTAGCGTGATCGTAACGAAAATTACGGAGATAGCAGCATTTCGGTGGCTATTTCAGATCGCTAGGAGTTAGCAGATATTATTGAGTTAAAATAAAAAAGTTTCTTTAATGGGAAAAAATATCTTTGCTTTCCCTACTTATAGAGTATTTTTTTCTCATTCTAATGGTATAAAAAAAGCTTATTAGCGTAAAAAATGGAGTTAGCAGGTTATCACGTTTCACTGACGATATATTTTCTTTTAGTGGGCCGATTTTGTTGATTTTTTAGCGTGTAGGATTATTGGTTCAACTTTTCTTGACCATGCATTTTCGAGGATACGTTGACCGGTTAATGTTATGTTTTTTAGAGAACGGTTTTCAAGATATGTTAGAAAAGAAATTTAGTTATAGCCAGTTCTTATCTTTCTTGACTAATTTCACTTAGATTGCATGGTATTCTTATTCTGTGATGATACACTTGTAAAAAGTGTATCATCACTATTCTGTGATGATATACTTGTAAAAAGTCAGAATATATTACTAAACGGTTCTTTACAATTTACATTACACAAACTAAAACTTACAAAAATAATATCACTACATACACTGTCAGTTATTTTAGAAAATTTTCAAAAAATCCGCCATTGTTTTGAGTTGCATCTTTTTAAAACTGAATTACTACCTCTTCTCACAGAAGGACCGGTCGACTTAATTAAACTTTTCTCGTACCGCCACTTCGAGTGCCTTTCTTAATTCATAAGTTATTTTGTAAACCTTATTGTTAACTATACCGCATAAAAAAATCTAAAATGGATAGGTCATGTGATCGAGGAGGCCTATGCAATTAGTCCACCTCTTCCTATCCTTGTGTTTGTATAATTATGATATAAATAATTTTTAACATTTCTTTCATTATGGAGGGTGGGGGGTGGTGTGTCATAATGAAAGTCATGTTAGAACCACTCTATTGATGCTCACCGGTCAACGTATCCTCGAAATTGCATGGTCAAGAAAAGTTGAACCAATAATCCTATACGCTTTTCTTCATTTGAAAAATTCATATTTACAATTTTTGTTTATTTTAATTTACAAAGTCTGGATGTGACAGCTTCACATTTCTGAGAGTAACGGCGATTGAACTTGTTTCCATGGCTAACTAAGTGAAATTGTTTAAAAATGATACGAATTGGCTATAACTTAGTAATTTTTCGAAGAAAAGATATTATAGCTTATATCACTAAAAAGCTTAAAAATGGCGCTTTTATGAAGTCATGGCCAACTATGGTTTCCATTTAAAAAAACCTATGTTTGTTTCATATGTCAAAAATGACAGGCTTTAGAAAGAAACGGAGGACACAGTCTCATTAAGGATGTGATTATCTACAACTTTTATCTGAAAACTTTTTGTCTAAAATAGCTTATAATGGAATTAGGGACAATTTTTAAAATAGCCAAAATTTGTTTTTTTCGAAAGATCTAGTAAGTCATGAACTTTTTCAAAAATCTGAAAGACGCATATTTATGACCCCACAAAATTCTTTCCCCATTTAACCGACTCTCTATCTCCAGTAGTTTCCGAGATAACCATAGAGAACATCGTAGGAAACTCACCCTGTATAATATATTTGCACTTATTTAAGACTCACCCTGTATATAAGATCAGAAATATTTAGAAATGATTTAAATATTTTTGAAAAAAAAACACCCTATCTTATGTGCTGCTGAATGATACCCTATCTTATGTGTGCTACACTCTTATAATGTTGATGAAATCCTAGATGAGTTTTGAAATCCTATATTCATTAAAGAAATATTTTTAGGCTCATACCGATGTCTTTGTAATTTAACCACACCTTATATCTCTTTAATCTAAAAAATTGAGAGGATTAAACTTCAAGTAAACTTCACAACGATTTTTTTCGATAAAAAAAAACTTTCGCATAAAAAAAACGTCAAATTATTAAGATATATTCTTGTTTCTTCTATTATAAAGTATACCTTCTATTATAAAGTTATCTGGAAAAAAATATTAAAAATAAAAATACTCACCACAACGCTCTTTTATCCCCATAATATCCAGGCGGAGTCAACGAATTATTTATCTCGACAATCGGCTCTTTAAAAATTTGATTCAGATCGAACCTAAACTCCATATTGTCCCTTTAATTTTTCCAACTCTTCTCCGTACCGCAGAATCCCCGGTCCAGCCTCTCTCAGTCAACAAACCCTCTCTCTAGTCCTAAACGCCACCGCACTTGAAGAAAATACCACAGTAAAAATATCCCTTTAAAAATATCACAAATATTCTCGTATTTTTAATGTTTATGGTTAATCGATCTGCTAATTAATAGAGATTTAAAAAATCGCGCCAGCGGAGATGTAGAAATAAATTTAGTGCGCTACACGCGGATCGACTCTGCGATTGTTTCGTTTCGGGCGATGGCAGGTAGGAATGTCGACTCCCAGTTGATTACTACGGGAAAGGAAATGCCGGTCTGACTTGGTTGCGTACGGAATAAAGGGGAGCATGGGCGTAGGATACGGGGCAAAGAACTCTACACTTCTTTGAAAGAAGACTGAAAAGGAGTATTGTATTTTCTGAGAGTGGATTACTGTTGGGACTCTTCACTGCGACCGCTAGTGCCTTTTGTGGCTTCACTGAACCAAAAGTCGACATAAATAATATAATGAATTAAATCATTAATTTTGAGCCGATGAACGATTTCATTGGCACAATGAAAAGTAATTCATTAATTGTATGAACTTTAAGTTCATTAAATCAATGAACAGTGTTCATTAATTTGAAGAACACGTTCATTGATACAATGAACAGATTTCATTAATATAATGTACCTAAATCCTTATATTAATGAACCGTATCATTAATACAATGAAATAATTTCATAACCTGTTTAGTTATACATTTAAAAGTCGACACTATTAGTAACTCTTGTTATACCGTATAATCGATGATGAAGATCGCTGTCATTGATATGAAATATCATTGATAGTCATTTCCCAGCCAACTACCTAAAATAATTCTACTATAAATAGATTTCCATTCGAACAAGCCCTTAGCTACAAAGGAAACAAAATTACCAATAGTGTCGACTTACTTACGAGCACAGTAAATTTTTCCATTAGGGCAATAAAAAACAAGTGCAATAAACTAATAATAATTTATTCAAACTCGATATAGCATATACAAGTTAAAAATTTAAAAAAAATCGAATCGACGAAGAGAATAGTAATGTTATTATTAATTTTAGGGTAAATTATAATAAGAAAATTAATTTACCAGTCGATATCCTGAGGGATTTCTAGAAAAAGACCATTTCTTCATTATATTAGCTTTATCGTTAGACTTGATAACCTCTAGACGAATTTGCAACAGGCCTTCCAAGTCGCATCAAGTGGATCCGATGTTAAATTGTCGAATTTGAGGGCTTGAAGGCAGGTCTCAGCATCTTGTTCCGGTTCTAAAAGCGACACATATCAAAATAATTAAAATGTCAAATATTAAAAGAACATTGGAATTTACCATAATCAGTTTCATGCCTGGTTTCATGCCTTGACTTGTTACTATATGTTTTTCTTCTTTTAGTTTTTTATCTTCTGAAACATATTTGGAAACCGCTGTTTTAATGAATACCTGCACCAGAGATCTCACACAGCGGAATTTGATTTGACAACACAAAAAATTAACTACAATACGATAGGTCTTTTATTTAAAATATTTAAAATATTTAAGAGAATACTTACCGCTCTAATGAAACTAAAGCCTCACTGAATAACACAACCACACAGACGTTATTAAAAGTGATAAGTAACCGATCAAGATGGCCACCATTTAAGTCCTAATATTTTATTCCTGATATTAATAACCGCGTACATTAATATAATGTAGTGTGTTCCTTGTATTAATAGCATTGCTCATTGTCACAATGTATAACTCATTAATCAATGATGTACATTAATATAATAAATATGTCGTGTTCATTAAAGTTTCAGCATTAAAATAAAGAACGCATTCATTGGGACAATGAACGCATTTTTTATATTAATGAAAATCTTACATTAATTTAATAACCAGATTTTCATTATATTGATGAAATTAGATTCATATTATTAATAAATCCGGCATCGATCTATGATTAACAAATCATTAATAAATATAACGAAAAAATTCATTGTCCCAATGAGACAACAGTTAATAATCAATGTTCATTAATATTATGAACAATATTTTTTTCAGTGTTAGTTCTATAAACTTTATCATTCACCTTAATAGTCCCATATGCTAATACGACGAAATATTTAGGAATGACACTGGGCGCAAAGCTACGGTAGATAAGCCACATCAAAAAGAAAAACGAAGAACTAAAAATCAAATTTACAAAATGTATTGGCTTCTTGGGCGAAATTCTGCGTTATCAATACAAAATAAATTACTACTTTACCAACAGGTTCTCAAACCTGTATGGACATGTGGCATACAATTGTGGGGCTGTGCTAGTAAAAAATAATAAAGAAATTATTCAGCGATTCCAAAACAAAATACTAAGGAGCGTTGTCAACGCCCCCTGGTATATCCGAAACAGTGACCTCCACAGGAACTTGGAAGTGGACACAGTTACCCAAACTATTACCTCATTCGCCAAGAGACACGAAGAACGACTTCACCACCACGTCAACGTTGAGGTCATCCAGCTACTCGACAACACAACTCACATCAGAAGGCTGAAACGGATCAAATCCTTGGAACTAGTTAATTTGTGTTTGGTTTGGTTGTGGTTGTGGTTTGTTTAGTGTGAATTCCCTCCTGGGTAATTTCCTAATAAAAATAAAATTCACCTTAAGATCCAAACTTTTCACACTTCAGTGCTAATTAGTGATGCGAATACCGATTCCACTTGAGTCGCATTATAATAGCGGCCGTTCCAGAGAAATACCGCAATTTTGTAACCGTGTCTCCGGCTTCCAAAGCGTCACTGTTCCCGCCTATGCGGTATTTCTGGTCACCTACCTACTCCCATCCGCGCCCACCTACCTACTCCCATCCGCGCCCTTATCTCTGTGTCTGTGCAACTTTATAAACAATAACAATTTATAAACAAATTTGTAAACAATAAACAACATACAGATGGCTGGAAGAATTTAGTTATGTTAGCGTTCAATTTTGAAAATAAAACTATTAAATAAAAAATATAAAATAAATAATTTATTGGTATTCAATACTTTTTATTCGCCATCTTTTCTTCAGACTGAAGAATAACTTTTTTTATAAGTTTTATATTTTTTTCTGTAATAATATTTAGATTTATATTCTTCTGATACACGTTATAAATAACCGTTAGAATTTAAATTAAAATACATACATTTGTAAGATAATTATATCTTTCTATCTTTTTTCTTAAAATCTGTTTACTTTAGAAATATTTTAGATAAAACAATTAAAAGTAACATAATTTGAACCATTATTCAAGAGACCTACGCCATGTGCTATTTTTTATCTCCGTGTATGTTTTTATTTACGTATCTATATTTCTTAATGTTAGAAGTAAAATGTTCAAGTCAGATATTTAAAATAAAATTAGTCTTACTTTATTTCCGTTTATTAATAAAATGTAATTCTGTTTCTTTGCAGATTATAAAACTCTAATTCGAAGTTAATCAGTTGAAAGTAGCTTTACAATTTTTTTTGCTGTCATATTTCTTCTTTGTTTTTTCTTATTTTTGTAACTGGTTTATTTGTAACTATCTAATGTGCCTAATATGTATTTATTATAAATCAAAAATGTCTAGTACCTAGACCTACCGAAAATCGCGATCTCGAAAGTAACGTAACGGCTGTAACAAGGAGCATCAACGCCAACAGCGACCGACCAAATTGCGACAGACGACAACTCGACCCTAGGAGCGCTCCAGCAGTCGCACAACCAATCGTACTGGAGCGAAACACGTCGCGTTATAGGTCGTTACCAGTTACACCTCTTCGCGAGACACGAACGCGCCACTCTAGGAGCACGACGGCTGGAGGCGAGAGACGTCGCGGTTGAGATTGCATCGCTATGTAGTTCCAGTTACTATTGTTCGCGACCGACAAAATCGCGACTCTAGGAGCGCGACGGCTGGAGCGAAACACGTCGCCATGCGTTCGTTCGTCGTTATTATGATGGTCGTTCTTCAGTAACAGGTTCCTGAATCGTTGTTGACCGCGACACGACGTTACAAAAAAATACCGCTCCATAATCGCGTTACTCAAATACCGTCACATCACTACATCACTAGTGCTAACATACCGTCTGTCTCCCAGACCGACGCCCAAGTTTTTTCGTCGAATCATCGGACATCGATGGTCTATGTGGTTGTGCATCCTGGTATCTTAATTTTAGTCATTTACAGGTCTAATTAATAGGTATAAAGTTGGTATTAAACCATTTTGACAATTTCATACCTAGTTTGGTCTCCCAGGCGGATGTCTCCCGGATATGCCAATCAGAGAAATATGTCAAATGGAACCCGAAAATATAGCTCAAGATCAAGACAAGCTCTATTGTAGATATTATTTTTTATAGTACGAAAAAAGTAGGAAGACAAAATATATCATATTTATCTGCAGACATATTCTGCAGATAAAAATAGGTAAAAAAGTTCGTATAAATGCATTCGAGAATGCATGTTCTAAAATGCTTAGTTTCGGTGATACAGGGTGTAGAAGTTTTATTTTTATATATTTCAAGTTTTTCCAAATAATTTTCTGAAGTAACGTCAATATTTGGATGAAAATTGGTATCTGGGAGTTTTTCAGCAGCCGGTAAAAACATATATTTTTAGTTAAAAACTCTATCACTAGTCAACATGGCGGAATTTCAATTTATTATTTTATATAATTGACATGAAGTCGGACACAAATCATTGTCACATTATATCATATCTGTGTCTAAAACCAGAGAAACTCATCATGTTTCGAAAACGAATCGACAATAAATGGAAACCTTGTTTCTAAAATGATTCGATTTAGCGCTATCTGTGTAGAAATTTCGAACTAGTCACATGTCAACAATACCAATCAAAACTGTCAAAACTTTCAAAATAATTAAAACATTTTTATTTGCTTATTATAACACAATTAAAACATAAAAACATGTATTCCATTGTGGAAAATAGAGAAAAAAAAACGTTTGCTGGTAACATTTTCTTCGGTCTTCTATTGGGTATGGGCTGTTATTACATTTATTTCTAAAACAAATCATCTCGGTAATGCGTATAATATATTATTATAAAATCGCATAAGAAAAATATCTGTATTTGTACTCACCATATGTCCTTCCTTCTGCTTTTTTAATAATTATGATATTATTAAAACTTGAAGAATGCTTAAATTGAATGTTTAATTGCAAAAATTGCAAGACAAAATCCAAACAATAAAGTAAAGTTTGGTTTTCGACGAATTGGCGC